GTAAAGTTGAAAAAAACTCACTCGGTGATGTAATGAAACCCATTTAAATAACATTGAGTGGATAACTTAAAAAATATACCTCCATGGAGCCAACGACGTTCAACGCTAGAAATCAGCTGTGTGTTTGAATTTTATTGTTATGCGTTGAAGAATTTTCCTAACCTAGCTTTTGTTTGTAAATGGACGTTACTGTTAGAAGATGAGTGAAATTGATAATGAAGTATATTGCTCGTAACCTCCTTAATATTGTCGGGTCAGGTAAAATTTTATACGTTACAAGTTACGCAAGAGCGTGTTTACATCACTTCGGTGAATTATGCAACTCGCCTTCGCTCGTTGCACAACATTCACCTACGTGATGTAAATACGCTCTTACTACACTTGTAATGTAAATAACTATTACTACGTAAGCCGATTATTTGCGTCAAAATTGTAGGCGACTGAGAAGTCCTAGAATGACGGGAGAGGGCTCAAATTAAAGGGAAAGGTCACAATACCGAGACGGCGGAAAAATAGTGAAATTCCCAAAATTTTAACACAAAATTACATATAACGTAAAATGTTCTCCATAAGAATAGCATTAGAAGTAATTTAATGCTGGTTTTTGTTTACTACAATAGGCTAAGGCTGATCGAGGCCTGATAGAGGCCTCGTGCTTGTCGCAAAAAATACAATACATATAAAACTCTTGTCCCAACGTAGAATGTAGCTTGTAAAATTGTGTTGTGTTGGAGATTCAATGGAGTTCAAATACTTTTAAAAATAAAAACATTGCTCCGTTTATGTTTTACTAGCTTTGTGCCCGTTCTACGTACGGGGATCTTATCTTAGTCACTTGAAACCTTCTTATATTTAGAACAGCAGTTGGTTTGCATAGTTTCAGATATCTGCATAACAAATATTTGCATAATTCAGCTACCAACGCGTCTAAGGCAAAAGAACCAGAACCAAAAACTAACGTTTACAGTAAAAAAATAATAGTAAATAGACCAATTATATGCGTTAATCAAGGTTATTGATCTCTTATTGGTTTTGGATTTTCTCGTAAAAAGTTATCGGCAATCAATGTTATTTCACATTAATTGCTTTATTTGTAAACAACTTTTAATGTAAACTTATCGGTGTCAGTTTAAAAAAAAAAAAAAAAAAAAAAACAACCTTATACAAACAACTTTTTGTCATTTAATAGATTACGTATTCTCTAAACAATGATTGGTATATTTATTAACATTATAAGGAAACGTGACAAAAATCACACAACGTTGGGTTTTTGGACGTTTGCAATTTTATTTCTTAAGTAGGTAGGCCGTGTATTCTAGGGAAAAGTACCGGTTATCAAGGATCGTCGTCAAAAAGTTTGTTATGAATAATTGGGTAGGCGTACGTACCCAAGAGATGGGCTAAGGGCCTATTGGCTGTATGGTCCAGCGATTGCATCACACGGTGAGTATGAACTATTGACTATTAAAGTCAATGGTATAGGAACAAAAAGTGACACATTGGAAAATCGAGTTTAGCATCATCCGTAAACCTCAGTTACAATCACCAACTGCAGTTGTGATTTTTTACTTTACACTTATTGAAGCGCCGTCAATGAGTGGAAACCTTGTTTCTAATTTATTGGTGTCGATCATTCATAAATTTAAGTTTCCCAGCCGTATACAAAACTGATTCAAGGTCTTCTTTCTGGTTATCAAAACTCAAGAACAATCTTTTACAAAAAGAATCTCTGGTTCCTGACCTGGATGATGCCTAGTTATAATTTCATTTACGTGGTTACACTATTTTATTGCACTTGCGATTAATTAAATCCGTTATGCAAGAAAAACGTTTTTAATCTCACTTGGTTGGGATTTGCTTTTAAAATGTAATCGAAAATGGTTACGGTATTTGTAAACAACATTTGTAAACATATTAGTGACAGCTAGAAAAAATAATCTTGATCCGAACAGCTGTTCGTTATTTCATAGATGATTATGTGATAAAAATTGGACGAAAACTTAAAAATCGCACAAAACTGCATTTTTGAACGTCAGTAATTTTATTTACAAAGTAGTGAGGCCATATATTAATGGCTAAAGACACTCTCGCCAATCCAGTGAATACATTAAAATGACTTGGATCTTGATAGGTACTCTCGTTTTCCATCGCGTAAAATGCCATCTTGAGTGTTACAGACGGACAGCAGACAGACGGACAGAAATAAAGAGATAAGACTCGTTTCTGCTTTTTTAATCTTCCCAATTTTAGTGTGTGCCCTCAATTTCTTTAGACTGATAACAGCCAGGCTTACGCACAGGCACCTGCCCATTAGTCAAATTTAGGCAAAGTAAGGCAAATTTTATCTTAAAAATGTTGTACTCTAATGTTGTATAGCTATTCTCTGTTTTAGTTTATTATTCTTGGGATAAATAAACGTTTTTTATTTAGTTTTTCATTTCATTATGTATAAAACGTAAAAATAACCTAAAAATATATTATTCTGAGCAATGTACAGACAAAACTCTAATTTTTTATATAGATTTTAGATAGATTGGACGTTATTCTTTAAACTCTAAGTATATACCAATAATGATTTTAAAGGACAGAAATATATTATCCATTCAGTTTTTCAGTTATATAAAAGGTTTAATAAAATAGTAATTATGCGTAAAAATTTGGATTTTTGCGCCACGCCACGCTTCATGATGTCTGTTCAGCAGCAGCACAACGAACTCAGAGAACAATAACTGTACAAAATTACAACCTCGTGCTCCTCAAAGAGTGTCATGTCTATCACTGAAGACACAAACCATCCCCACAATGTACCATTTGGTAAAATTCTCTCTCTAAAATTTAAACGAACCAATCAGAATTGACATCCTCATAGGGACCGCAGATATTCTCTTATATCCCCACAGTTGATCATGAGGTACAGTTATCTCTCTAAATTCAAAAAGGACCAATCAGGCCTCGTATCCCCATAAGGACCAAAGCTTTACTCTCTTTTCGGAGAGAGAAAACCGGCATCAGCGCAGCTCTGGTGGCCGCAAAAGCGAACTAAGTGTAAGGATCATAAGGTGCCATGTGGGGATATTTTCGTTTGGCGCTGAAAGTGGGCAATTTATGCATTATTTTGAACGAATAATCCATTTCAGCCAAAAAAAAGACCTGGTCCTTATGGGGATATCCCCACAAGGACCAATAGCCCCACAAGTATACTTCAGGACGAGCGTATAGCCGCATAAGTGACCAGATAATAGCACTCTCTCTCTCTCTCTCTCTCTCTCTCTCTCTCTCTCCCTCTCCACCTCTCTCTCTAAACTCCCTTTTACCGCGGTCGGTAGAACTTGTCTGGTCTTGGTCTTGTTCGGGACTTCGGGGAAATGTTCGGATTGATAATTTGCAGATTTTTACCTCCCTTCTCCCTGCTCGATTTGGGGTCTTATTCGGGGAAAAAAGGAAAAAATCCAAAATTCAACGATGTCAACAAAACAGCACATAGTGCGAGCGCGTCAAGGTCAAGTGATCATTGGAGTAACTAGAACTAGCGGCGCTAGTCTAGCCTAGCGCTGGTCGCTAATGGCAACGGCACATAGGCAGTGGCAGTGCAGTAGCATTGACACTCACTAGTCACTACACTATGAGGCAGGCGGGTGAGCCGTTCTGTCTCTTTTTGTCTACATAGGCCTAAAAAATACTCGTTACAAAACGCGTGCTCCTTGCTGTATTTAATTTAAATCCTGTTGTAAGAATAGTTTTAAAGTTAATGATATTTTAAAAATTACATTCTGAAATTACAAATGAAACATTTATGTATATACTGCTGACTCCTGGCCATCGAAAAAAATTAACCCTAGGTCCTTGGGGGGGGGGGCTTAAGCCCCCAAAGCCCCCTCCTGGGTGTGCCACTGTCACAGAGAAAAAATAATCATATAATTTCTCTATGGCTATAAACACATATTCATAAATTGATTAAGCACCACAGGGCTGAATAACTAGATCAAGGGTTACTCTGTAATTGCCTTGCAAACCTAGCAAACTTTGAAGTTTAACACCTAAGTTAAGTGACTTTTTGTCAACATTTGACCATTGACTTTTACCACTTTGTGACCATTTAATCCAACAAGCGAAAATGATCACCAATTTGCTGTAACAGTAATTTAGATGGACAAAATTAACTAAAATCCAGATTTAATATAACAAAAGTGCTGTTCGTCCAACATTTCGACTAACCTGAAAGGGCTTTTAAAAATATTTCAATAGCCAATACCTGCAGACCAAGTAGGTTTATAGTAGTATAGTAAGTAGGCCTTATGACAACTTTATTCAAAGAACACAAAAGAGGAAATAGGAGTACATATTTAGATCCTTAAAGGTTTAATGTTAGGAGGAAAACAAAAACTGTCAATGAGGAAACTTGTTTTAAAACATGCAGATATATATTAAAAAACAAGGCATCTACAGTATACAATGGCCGGTTTGGGTATTTCCTTCGAGTATAACATCAGCGACAGCTTCTGTATTTAACTGTTTAGTATTTAATGAGCGAATAAAGGAATGAATGAAAGAATGAATTAAAACGTCTTTATCAAGCTCTTAATATGCCTTTAACAACAGGCGAAGAATTTAAACGAAATAAGTTATATTTTCATGTTTTTTTTGAACTGTTAGAAAATGTAATCTAACTGTTAGTTTCGATTATGGAGACCATAAAATGAAATAACAAGGGTGGTCCCTGGACCTATATCTAGGTCTTTCCAGGAGGACCACACAAAGACTACCTTCTTAGAGGAGTGTTTTGTTAGTTCTTCTCTAAAAGGGAGTAAAAAATATATATATATTAATTGTTAGATACCCCAACACAAATTAGATTCATATTGTTAAATTAGGGCTTATCACAGGTATTTAGTTCGAAATTGTATTTGCAGATTTCAGAAATGTTGACTTGTATATGTAAAGATTGGACCTGTTTGTCAAATGAATACATTACGCATAATGATTATTTTTTTCCATTTCAGATGAATCACTGACGAGATGGAAACATAAGAACTAAACATGAAAAGTAACACGGGTTTGGTAAGTTTTAACTGGTTAAACTCGGAACTATGGTTAAGTATACAAACAAATATATTCATACACATAACATAAGACCTAATTGTGGATGTTTATAGAATTACTAATATGATTAAATCAGATATCCTTGGCCATTACACGTAAAGACACCTACATAGTTACGGTATAAACTACGTTTTTATAAAACAAAAACTTGTAAGACAAGACAATAAAAACATTCACTTCATTTCTAGTGTATAAAGAAAAGCTTTACTTTACATATAGACTTAATGAACATATTATGAACATTATTATGAACATAATTTTAACTTTTGCATTATCCATTACATAGAGCTAAACCTTACGAATGAACACTGTGTAGTATTAAAATAGTTATTTGTGTAACTAGTGGGCGAAGTGGCACTTTGCTGCACACGAGAGGAGTTTATGCACGAGCCGTAGGCGAGTGTGGAAAGGTTCTTGAGTGCAGCAAAGGAAGTTTGCACTCGTGTTACACATAATATTTTCCTACAGTTACTATACATCGTATACATAATTAGTATTTCAAACACTGTTTACACGTTTTTAGGTTAGGTCAAATCCAAACATAAAACGACATGGGAAACGCTGCACCAGGTGATCGTAGTCGTAATATCTCTCGTAAAATAAAAATGTGATAAGTGTTGCCAACTCATTTTCAAGTCTACACGTATTACGTCGTGCATAATAAAAGGACGCTGTTTTGTGTTGTTTGGTTGGAATACTGGTATGCTCCAAAGTAAGGCTTTCTGTACTATAATCTGTGCAAGGAAGCCCACTTTGTCGGGTGACTGTAGGAAAAATTATTTTAAGTTAAAGAGGAAAAAATCCCTTTAGTAGTGCTAAAATGCTTAGTTTTAACTGTTGTAGCGAAATAGCGTCCTAATGAATGAACGAACAACGCAAAATGATAACTGAACTGTGAGTAATGCAATTGTGCAATTGGTGATCGTAAATAACAGACCAACCTTTGATTCTTTGCATGTCAGTAGCAAACATTCACGTATTTTAGAATATAACAAGTCAATACTCAGATTCCAGTGATTATTTAAATACTTCTACGAAATGGGAAAATGTATACTGTATATTGTATTGAAATAGTAGAAGTGGATCTATGTTAAACAGGGTTGTTTAAAACTAGTAACTTGATTCCACCATTCGGTTTGATAATAAAATCCAGGGTTTGAATAGTTACGAGTATACAATTTTATTTAAAAAATTATTTCCTTATACTATAATATTTTTAGTAAATAATATCTCTTTGTAAGCTACACCGTTCGGAATCTGTACAAGCATGATCTGACGGGAGGTTAAATGCTCGATTTGTATAATACAATTTTGCGCCAAGTTATATTTATTTGCCTTTATCGTTTGAGGATTTCAGGATATTACAGACACAACAATTAAAGTAAATAAGTATACTTGAAAAATAGCACTTTATCAAAAAACCTACTACATTTGATCAATTTTCGATTCATACCAAGAAATAGAACATGTTATGCTAGAATAACGTGTTTTTCTCTGTCTTGGGACTTCAGAATGAGGCGTTCTATCGCCAAAAGCTAGAGCAGAAGCTGATGGTGGCCAAGATGGAGGCAATGTGTAGCGTCGCCATCAACTCATCCACCATACCAGGTAAATCTTCAAATAAAAATATCAATACTTTCCTATCGGTTTTAAAAGTATGGAATTTCAAGTAAATTTTAAGTCATCAAATAAAGTGCTGCCATTACAAATTCAAAGAATTCAGTTTCAGGTAATTCGAGATTTCTTTGATACAGTAGTTTGGCCTAATAGATTTCAGGGTCAGCCCATAGTAAGGGTTGGATATTATGAGCTGGATAAAATTACCCTTTCCGTATTTTCATGTGGACAACTTTATGTAAATTAGTGATAATATTGCCTTCTGGCGTTCCAATTCTTGTAGACACTACTAAGCGTTTCGTCAGCACAGTGACATCATCAGGTTACGCTATGGCTTCGTCTTCAACATTAAAATACCTAACCTTATATTTTATTCCAATGTTCAAAATTAATAGATTAAATTATTTAGCTAATAAAACTCATGTTCTTTTCATTACATTTATTTTGAAACCAATAATCCAGCTGATCAATATTAATATTAATTAATAAACATAGAACATTCTTCGCGGTGGCCACATTACGCGTACGCACATGTTTAATTCTGGGCGACAACTCTAGAACGCCAGAGGGTAATATTATCACCAATAATTGACATTTGACTTTCCAGTAGTAGGGAATGAATTCTAACTTTATGTAGCTGAAATAGTACAGATTCCTATGTAAGGAGCTCTAAGTATTTTCTTGAAACACTTGGCCCACAGAACAGGGTCAGGTCTTGAAAATCAATAAAATATTCATATTGATAGTAATGAGCTTGTAATAACATTGTGAGTACTTCTGGTAGTTAGTTACTTAATCTTTAATATGTTGAACTAACTTTAAAAAAAAATTAATCTACTATACAATTGTAATGAGAGCTATTGATTTTTAATTCACTCTTTTGATACTTACTTGTCAATTGTTCGATTTACACTAGTAGTCTATTATTTTATGTTAATCGATTACGACTCATTTGTTTGTAGGTTTCGTTATTGAGCGCTATGTCCATGTTTTGTTCATTATTTTGAAATATGAATACAACTAGACCCATGTTACGTTTGTAACCACTTTTGGAATAAAACGAACACAGCGGAATTGTGCCACGGATGGAGTAGGACGAAATGTCTGATTTCTGTAAAATATGGCTACTTTTAAAGCTCAGAAAAACTTAAAAAACAGCCTATTGTAAACGATATTCTTATACTTTTATATTAGTTTATCAAAGTATCAAAAATTAAAGGAAAAACTGTATTTCATTCACATATGTGTTTTTTTTTTAAACTATGCAACATTCCTATTGTTGTCTAATTCGTATAATTTAACATACTAACTTTTATATTTACAATAATTCAATGTAATATTTCAATTTCCAGTGGAGCACTGCCCCATGGCCTGGGACGGGATCATGTGTTGGCCCACCACGCTGCCTGGAGTGCTCAGGTCATTGCCATGTCCTGGCTATATCGTCGGCTTCAACCCCACTGTGAGTTGTAATCACATCGGTACAATGTTTAAAAAGTCAGACATTCCAAGTTTCACTAATCAAAGTAGTTAATTTTACTTTAAAATACAAAATATTAGACCCTTTCAACCATTTGAACCGGAACAAGATAAACATTCTTAGAAAACATAACATTTTAAAGAGGATCAGTAATGAAAACATCAATGACGATAATTACCAATCCTACAATTATTAAGGGTAATTTGTTTTAACGCATAAAACTATTTGAATGGTCAGATAATGGTGATCAAGCAGCTTATTCTATCAGATAGAACCCCATACTTGTTATTTGTTTAGTAATTACTTGTGTCAGATGATGACCTCTTACTTGTTATGTGTTTAATAAATATTATGTGTCAGATGATGGCGTTCAAGCAGTTTATTTTGTCAGATGGAACCTCTTACTGGTTATGTGTGTGATAAATATCATGTGTCAGATGATGGCGTTCATACAGTTTATTTTGTCAGATGGAACCTCTTACTGGTTATGTGTGTGATAAATATCATGTGTCAGATGATGGCGTTCATACAGTTTATTTTGTCGGATGGAACCTCTTACTGGTTATGTGTGTGATAAATATTATGTGTCAGATGATGGCGTTCATACAGTTTATTTTGTCAGATGGAACCTCTTACTGGTTATGTGTGTGATAAATATCATGTGTCAGATGATGGCGTTCAAGCAGTGTACCGCTGAAGGAGAGTGGTTCGTGAGGTCCACAACCAATAAAACCTGGACCAACTACTCACAATGCTACAGCAGTAGTACAACAAACATAGTGGTACAATACCCGGAGATAGAAAACTCTTCTTTAATAGCTGTGAGTAGGCCTAGGCAGGCATGCCTTTGCATAAACTTTGCTTGTGTAGAAAATATTTTCATTTTTATTTCTTTCCTTGCAATTCAGATCTTCAAATCATTTCTTATCGTTGATAACTTATATTTAACTCAGTAAGATAAAAAGTGCTGTTTATGAGAGTTCAATTTAGTTTAATTTACCACCATGAAACTCTGGACAGAGTTGAACCAACCACAACTGTTAGTTTGCAGTTGTTTGTTGTTAATACTTGAGAGTTTAAACTTAACTGTTGACACCAATTTCCAAAGCTCTTTCTTAATTTTCTATTTCAGTCTACTGTAAGTGTACTTTTTTCAAAACAATGTCAAATGTTTGTTATAAATATTTAAATTATTTGTATTACGAAGGATTATAAAGAAAGGAGCGAGAAAGACTTGAAAAAATTGATTTTTCTCTTATGACGAACACATCTATGGAATAAATGATAACGTTATCACGTCATCAGAAGCTTGGATCAAACACTTACTACTAACTTCTTCACCAGGAAGTGTACAACTAGTATGTTACATACTGAAATGTAGTCGTAAATTTATTAAAACAATATTTCATATGTCCTTTTCATTTTTAATCTATCCTATTTATATATCTAACCTAAACAAAATCTAAATACTTTCTAAATCAAGGCGTACAATTCTTAACATAGAGGGGTTCTAAGATACAAGGACAAAACAACTTTTTAATGGTCAATAGTATAAACGTTGGGAGTTTAAAAACATTATTACGGTGCGTGATAGTAAAGTTCAAGTAGTAAGCTTAAGCTACACATATATTACTTGGTGTCCAAAAAGTTTAACTGAATATGTAGGCCTACAGTTTGCATGTTTAATTACCATTTACAATATAAAATAGTAAATTAATTGTCAGAATATTAAACAATAATTTGGCTCTAAAAGTATACTGGTTTTAGATTGTTGAGAAATATACTATGCCAAGATATAACACTTATAGTTAAATGTTGAAAGGCAACGTATAACCGTTATGACATCTCTATACTTTAAGCCTCTAGTTATTAACAATTTTTTGTTGCAGCAATATGTTCCTATAGTGAAGGCGGTGTCACATGTTGGCTACGGCGTGTCGCTGGCCACATTGATGGTAGCGTTCTGTATATTTGCAACTCTGAGGTGAGTACGAGATTATCACCAGTCTTAACTACAATGGTAAATGTATATAAAACAAGGAAAACTGTTAATTAGTTTTTTTACTAGGTTTGCCAAGCTATTTAACCAAATAATGAAGTCAATTTTCCACATTAGTATACATAGTACATATGACAGTATAACGTTAGTTTAGTACATTTCAAACCCATCCTGGAGAGAAAAAAAGTCCTAACTAAAACAAAGTAAACAAGTATGTCGTATATTATAGAAATAAAATAATAAATAAAAGGTCATATTCTAAATGTTTTATCCATTAACATTCCCAGTTTCCCACAATAATAACCATATTATATGTTGATATACATTGAAGCGGTTGTTAAATTATTATTCAATTAAAATACATAATTTTTAGCTATTAACGTATTATTTGTACGCCTTTTCTTATAAAATATTAGATAGTAGATTTATACTATTTAAATTTTCAAATAAGGCTGATGCGAGTTGTAACTTAAAGTCTAATAAAAAAAATCAGAAAGTATCTCACTTTTAAATGTCAATAAAATAGATAGCATATGACCTACAAAGTGTTACCAAAAGTAGTTCATATATTTCCCATTGATAGCTTATAACCACAGTTACCATACTTTGATTAACTAAAAATATATTTTTATCGTAATTAATGACCGTGATAAGTATGTTTGTCAAACAAACAACGCCAATGAAATTCTAATATATCTTTACTCTGCTATTCTTCGATAGTTTTAGATCGTGTATAATGATGTTCAGAAATTTGAAAAATGTGAAGGTGGAATTTTTATTGGAATGTTGCTCATCGGAAACCATGCATTGCTCCTTACTTCTGCAAACAATCCTTTCTCTCATACGAATACCTTAGTAATTACAAAATATTTTGCTGCTTTATGAAAACAACTCATTATGAATATTATCCACCCTTCAAATATTATTTTAACACAATTATTTTTAGTATTTTTTATACATTTAGGGAACATTAAGTACGACATAATAGTTCCTTTCTTCAGAAACGGCAATGTATTATTTATTATATTTTATCTTGACCCTGTTCATTAGAATTCACTTACAATAACAATCTAAATACAAACTGGTTTTAGTGTTATTAAGATACATACAGATCCCATACAATATCAGGTATGTACACAGTAGTAGGTTACAGCTGATGTGTTTTACAGGCGTTTAAGATGTCCACGCAACAAGCTACACATGCATCTGTTCGTATCGTTCATGTTGAGAGCGTTCACTACACTCCTCAAAGACTCGCTGTTTGTGAAAGGGATCGGGCTCCCATCGGACTTCACTGTCAAAGACGGAGAAAGCTACTTATTACATAGCAACCAGGTAAGTTCTATTGCCGTGTATAAAACACATAAGAATATCATGGCATATTTACGTTTGTAGCTTATAACAGTTAAGTACATACTGTAAAAGAAACATTTGGTGAATACGTAAGACATTTATATCACACTCGGTATTCCTTTTGGTAATTATAAACAATTGTCATTTACAAGAAATCTGTCAATTTGTATTTGCAATGTTTTTTAACGAATAATCGAGCAGTTTCTTGACGATAAAGTTGACATTATTTTCCTCCCAACTCACGTAGTGCCATTTGTCTTCCAAGTCCATCGAGGAAACTCTCTACAAATGACAGTCTTAAATCTCCCTAGAACAGCAACGATATGTCTGATGGGTGACATACAATAGTCATTAATGCTTCTCGTACAATGATTATCATAACCACCGGAGATGTTCGTAGCTTATAGAAATTTGGTTACGTTTAGAGATGTATTGATATTTTTACAGATGCTCTCTGACAATAGATAAATATTCAACTATATTCAAATAATCCCTTTAATACTTAGTAATCATCTCCTAAAACACTAAAATAATTTTCGTTTGTTTTTATCAGGTCTAGGTCAACCTAGACATTCTAGTATGAAATTGTGTAGTCAAAAAGTATTTATAAAAAAAAATCATCAATAATGCAGTTTATGTGATGCAGGAACGTGTTTATAATATTAACTTTACTAACTTTAGGCATTAATGAATTATATATTTTAAAAACATCTTACCTGTGACATATGCTATATCATTCCCTGACTTATGTAACTTTATGTTGGAGGTAGAGGTATACACTTCTACTAGTATAGTAGTAGTAGTAGTATACTATAGTATAGTATAGTATAGTATACTAGTATAGTAGAGGTGTATAGTCAATGGCTATATTTATGATAACTGGATCATAATAAACTCCAGAATATGTTCCACATTCTGGGGTTTTTATGATCTAGTTATTTTTTAATCATCTATTAATTAAAATTTATTTTATTTACATAAAATAAATACATTGTATAAACTGCTTTTTATTCCATTCAGGCCTATATAATGGCTTTAGTTAAATTATAAAGATATTAGAGCATTCATCTTATAAATGAACTACATTATAAACAACGTCCACATTTTCACCACTGGTAAAACGCTGTTTCATGCACTAACCTGTACTGTATGTATAGTTTAGTTGGCAGTGCAAGATGCTGGTTTGTCTCTGGCAATACTTCATCATGGTCAACTACTCGTGGATCCTAATGGAAGGACTGTATCTACACAACCTCATATTCGTCTCCGTGTTTTCCGACACATCGTCCATAGCTCTCTACGTCGCCTTGGGCTGGGGTAAGTAGACCATCACGTGTTTGGTGTGATGGAAATCCAACAAATAGTTCAACAAAATATAATTACCAAAAGGGAAAATATGTTATTCATTATATGTTATTCATTTTATTCTGTATCCAATAAAGCACTTTTCTATTCTGTTCTATCCTATTTATTTTATTTTTCATAGTGTGTTAGACAATTCTGGTAATTATTTGATTTGTAATAATTAAGTTTACATCATTTTACAGTTATTTAAAATAAATCTTATCCATTATCAGTAGCATTCTATGTAGTTGTAATACATATTTTATTTTTTAATTTATGGTTAAATTGTTTTTCAGAACCGTGGCATTACTTAAACAGGTTTAATTATGTAAGCCTGTAAAAATATGTTTCTCTTTTATCAGTTTTAAACTATTTCTAAATATAACTATTGTAATCATAAATCATTTAGTTCTACTTACCTTGCAAGAGAAGCTTCTGAAATCCTCTTATGTATTTATGTAACCACATTGTCGAGTCAGAATATTAATTTTGTGAGAGATACGACACAATATCTCCTTTCTTCAGAAACGGCGATGTATTATTATATTTTATCTTAACCTTATGAACCTGTTGCATATTCGTGCAACTATTCTATATAATATAACTAAGATATATTATACAGGGTGATTCAAAAAGGACTTTACAACTTTGAAAATTCATATAAATCTTATTAAACAAGGTACAGAGCTGGTTTTGGTGTTGTTTTAAAGGAAAACACTTCAAGTTTTTTTACCATAAACTAAAGATGTTCTATGTGACTTACGTTGGATTTGGGGAAAATAATTATTTAGGTATGAAAAAATTGTGAAAACCGTTAAAAATTTGAGAGAAATTTACAAAATTTTGAAAGTAGGGCGTTTTTTGACGGTGAAGGAGTGCGATTTTCGAAAAACGCTTAATAGTGTCTTGTAGGAAATTTAATTCCGAACCTACGTTTTTCCCTCAAATCTTTTCTAGCTCTTACCGTTTTCGAGCTATAGCCGTTTGAAAAAAACGCGTTTTGTCGTTTTCAGAGGTCCGCCATTTTGGATTTTTAGGGGGTTTAAAATTTGAAAATGCAACTTTTTGGAATTTTATTGGTGGTTTGGGACCAAGAACTACAAGTGTGCGAAATTTCAACTCCCTAGCACATCTAGAAGTGGGTGTATCACACTCCTTCACCGTCAAAAAACGCCATACTTTCAACATTTTGTAAATTTCTCTCAAATTTTTAACGGTTTTCAATATTTTTTCATACCTTAATAATTAATTTCCCCAAATCCAACGGAAGTCATATAAAAAATATTTAGTTTAAGGTAAAAAAAACTTGAAGTGTTTTCCTTTAAAACAACACCAAAACCAGCTCTGTACCTTGTTTAATAAGATTTATATGAATTTTCAAAGTTGTAAAGTCCTTTTTGAATCACCCTGTATAGAGGGTTGTAAATAAATGTTTAACTGTCCATAAATAAATTGTTTGCACGGACAGTAAAAATTTAATCATACTTACATGAATGTAAGAACTCATCGACATGTAACTATATAATTTTTAAATTTACACATAAGAAATTTTTGAGCTATCTTACAGTATATACTTTACTCACATTTCTGTTTAGAGAAAACCAAAGTAATATTTAGAGATATAATAAGGTAACAGCTTTATGTTAGATCGGATAGAATATAAATTGTTTCTTAATTGACAAAATCAAATGAAAAATTTCGTAACGTCCTTTTATATCGTTAAACAGCTTAAAAGTCGGTAAAATTGTATTCTGTTCCTAAGCCCATGTTGCTATTCAGTACTGATTTGCTCTTTTTACTCTTTATTAACAATCTCTTATGGTAATAAATTGATATTTGTTTTTGTCGGGTATCTATTACTGCGCTTGGGATATCTTTGATAACCTTCAAAATGACTTTCGTTATGACCCTTACAATGAATCAAACTTTAATTCAAGGAATTTTATAAGCAGCATTGACACCTTTAATATTTTTACTATAGGTAAGACTTTACTTACTTTTGCCTAAAGGTGTCAAAATGTAGTTTATGCTGTACATTTTTCGAGCTACTTACAGCTCGTCTTCAGCAGCATTCTAATGATTTTGTAAAACCCCTAAGTCTTGTTCACTATGAGGCGGACATAATTAAATGTAAAGTCTTTGATTATGAAGCCATACACATTGACATTAATATCATCAGTGTGACTCATTTGTTTGTGTCAAGGTCTACCGGTGTTATTCGTGGGTCCCTGGGTGATAGTAAGGGCTCTACTAGAGGACACGCTATGTTGGACAACCAACGACAATCCTTACTACTTCCAGCTGATCAAAGGGCCCACCACAGCCTCTGTCTTGGTAAATAACTAGAGTTTTATTTATAAATTTGTTACCTATATCATCCATATAGGAAATAAGCTATTACCGTAGTACTAATGGTAAGACCTGGACCCGGGACTGATTTACTTTTCCGTTTTGAGGTTCCTAGAGGCCAAAAACACCATCCGTTCGAATATATATATAAACTAGTGTAGTTTGCTTGTTTATGAACATATTTTGATCAAATTTGGAAGATGAATTTATTTCTTACTAAACTATTAACATAAAAACACTTTTATACCCTCCCTGTTGCAGCAAACCTAAGAACTTGTCAAACTAATTATATTTAGAGAATAAATGTGATATTTTTAAGGAGACGTTTTAGTGTAAATCCAAATAGGCAAATGGAAATTCACTTAGTCTACAGGTTGGCTGCGGCGGGGTATTAAGTTTTCTTATAATTGCAAATGTTATTACAGTAATACCTTAATTGCTTAATAACGCATATATCAATACAGTAAGGACTACGGGTATGAAAAGTATTTGAGTATTTCCTAAAAACATATCAAAGATTAAAAAAAATCCTTTTAACTTGATATATTCTTGGTTCATCCTCATATTTCCAAATCATGATTACTTCACAATCCTTATGGTTAACTTTTATCGAATACATGAACGGAATTGCGGAATTGAAAATAAAGGTTTATGCTTACCCTATGTCAACTCAATGTTAGATCGTAATAGATTGAGATTAATTAACTAATCAAAATTATTCTTGTTCAGATCAACTTCATCCTGTTCCTCAACATAGTTCGAGTGGTATTGTCCAAATTATTCTTGTCTAGATCAACTTCATCCTGTTCCTTAACATAGTGGGAGTGTTTCTGTCCAAGTATAGTCTGCGAATCGCAATAATTCTTGTCTAGATCAACTTCATCCTGTTCCTTAACATAGTGCGAGTGTTTCTGTCCAAGTATAGTCTGCGAATCACAACAATTCTTGTCTAGATCAACTTCATCCTGTTCCTTAGCATAGTGCGAGTGTTTCTGTCCAAGTATAGTCTGCGAATCACAATAATTCTTGTCTAGATCAACTTCATCCTGTTCCTTAACATAGTGCGAGTGTTTCTGTTCAAGTATAGTCTGAGAATCACAATAATTCTTGTCTAGATCAACTTCATCCTGTTCCCATAGTGCGAGTGTTTCTGTCCAAGTATAGTCTGCGAATCACAACAATTCTTGTTCAGATCAACATCATCCTGTTCCCATAGTGCGAGTGTTTCTGTCCAAATATAGTCTGCGAATCACAACAATTCTTGTTCAGATCAACATCATCCTGTTCCTCAACATAGTGCGAGTGCTTCTGTCTAATAAACACAATTATTCTTGTCTAGATCAACTTTATCCTGTTCCCTGACATAGTGCGAGTGTTTCTGTCCAAGTATAGTCTGCGAATCACAATAATTCTTGTCTAGATCAACTTCATCCTGTTCCTTAACATAGTGCGAGTGTTTCTGTTCAAGTATAGTCTGAGAATCACAATAATTCTTGTCTAGATCAACTTCATCCTGTTCCCATAGTGCGAGTGTTTCTGTCCAAGTATAGTCTGCGAATCACAACAATTCTTGTTCAGATCAACATCATCCTGTTCCCATAGTGCGAGTGTTTCTGTCCAAATATAGTCTGCGAATCACAACAATTCTTGTTCAGATCAACATCATCCTGTTCCTCAACATAGTGCGAGTGCTTCTGTCTAATAAACACAATTATTCTTGTCTAGATCAACTTTATCCTGTTCCCTGACATAGTGCGAGTGTTTCTGTCCAAGTTTAGTCTACTAATCACAATAATTCTTGTCCAGATCAACTTCATCCTGTTCCTCAACATAGTGCGAGTGTTTCTGTCCAAGTATAGTCTGCGAATCACAATAACTCTTGTCTAGATCAACTTCATCCTGTTCCTTAACATAGTGTGAGTGTTTCTGTCCAAGTATAGTCTGCGATTCACAACAATTCTTGTCTAGATCAACTTCATCCTGTTCCTTAACATAGTGCGAGTGTTTCTGTCCAAGTATAGTCTGCGAATCACAATAATTCTTGTCTAGATCAACTTCATCCTGTTCCTTAACATAGTGCGAGTGTTTCTGTCCAAGTATAGTCTGAGAATCACAATAATTCTTGTCTAGATCAACTTCATCCTGTTCCCATAGTGCGAGTGTTTCTGTCCAAGTATAGTCTGCGAATCACAACAATTCTTGTTCAGATCAACATCATCCTGTTACCATAGTGCGAGTGTTTCTGTCCAAATATAGTCTGCGAATCACAACAATTCTTGTTCAGATCAACATCATCCTGTTCCTCAACATAGTGCGAGTGCTTCTGTCTAATAAACACAATTATTCTTGTCTAGATCAACTTTATCCTGTTCCCTGACATAGTGCGAGTGTTTCTGTCCAAGTTTAGTCTACTAATCACAATAATTCTTGTCCAGATCAACTTCATCCTGTTCCTCAACATAGTGCGAGTGTTGCTGTCCAAGTATAGTCTACTAACCACATTTATTCTTGTCTAGATTAACATCATCCTATTCCTCAACATAGTGCGAGTGCTTCTGTCTAATAATCACAATAATTCTTGTTCAGATCAACTTCATCTTGTTCTTAACATAGTGCGAGTGTCCCTTTCCAAGTATAGTCTACTAACCACATTTAGCCTATTCTTGTCCAGATCAACTTTATCCTGTTCCTTAACATAGTGCGAGTGTTTCTGTTTAAGTATAGTCTACTAACCACATTTATTCTTGTCTAGATCAACTTCATCCTGTTCCTTAACATAGTGCGAGTGTTGCTGTTTAAGTATAGTCTACTAACCGCAATTATTCTTGTCTAGATTAACTTTATCCTGTTCCTCAACATAGTGCGAGTGTTGCTGTCCAAGTATAGTCTACTAACCACAATTATTCTTGTCTAGATCAACTTTATCCTGTTCCTCAACATAGTGCGAGTGTTGCTGGCCAAGTATAGTCTACTAACCACAATTATTCTTGTCTAGATCAACTTTATCCTGTTCCTCAACATAGTGCGAGTGTTGCTGTCCAAGTATAGTCTACTAACCACAATTATTCTTGTCTAGACCAACTTCATCCTGTTCCTCAACATAGTGCGAGTGTTGCTGTTTAAGTATAGTCTACTAATCACAATTATTCTTGTCTAGATCAACTTCATCCTGTTCCTCAACATAGTACGAGTGTTGCTGTCCAAGCTACAGGCGTCTATATGTGAGGAGACGCGCAGATACAGGTACAGGTGAGAGTTTTCCGATTCCCTCTCCTTCTTCCTTTCTTATCTCTCTCTGTCTGTTAATGCTTTACACGTTCTTCTCTGTGACCCTTTTAGTGTGACCTTCCTTAAACTGTCTCGGATTAGCAAACATGTCTGTGTTAAGTGTTAATTTTACATTTACAGTATATAATTGGCTAATTGATTAATAATATTTTTAGTATATGATTACGTGGTTTGCAAAACACTAGTGGTGTATGCGTCTAGTGTTAAACAAAATTTCTTTTTTATTCAAGTCAAAATAAGATTCTTAAGGGAAATGATACTTATTTGTCCAGCCTGGTAAACTATGTGTCAGTGCAAACCAAAACACAAGTTGATATTAAAGATTACTATTATACTACTTCAGGCAAAGAAAAGAAAATATTTATATTGGACTCAACTGAGTACAAATATAGCAATAGACTATTTATCACGCCGTCTATGTAAATAATATCCTTTTGGGAAACATTTTAATATTACAGGAAACAATTAATTTTAGCTATCTGTAAGTTGATCTATTTTTTTATTCTAATTTTCTATAAGTATAAATATATGTATCAGTAGCTATTATATGTATCTGTAGGTATGGCTATTATATGTATTGTATATTATCTGTATCTGTTATGTATCTGTAGGTATATATAGTCAATGGTATTAGTTTGTAGCAGACTTATAGAGTTACTTTAAGTAGTGAATGTCTGGTAGACGGTGGGCCAAGTCCACCCTGGTGCTGGTGCCGTTGTTCGGAGTCCACTACGCCGTGTATCTCACCACCTCCTACATAGGGGTGGAGGGGAAGGTTGAGCTGGTGTGGCTCTTCATAGACCAGGTCTTCGCCTCCTTCCAGGTAGGTACCTGGAAGATACCTAGGTACCCGCAACAACATCTAGATTTAGGCCTTACTGTTACTCGTGCTAAATTGTATTTTCACTTCTGTATAACTTGGACGAAAGCAACATATCATTATTCTTTCGTTCAAACGGCTTTACTAATCCTTATCTTGTAGATGAATAAGATTTTTATAACGATAAATACTTGATTCGATTAAGGTGCCTTACTAACTATACTCTAGTCTAAGACAACGGCAAGGCAAGTGCACAAGGGTAAACTTATTTATGTGCAGCGATAATTTTTTCTGTAGTAAAATGTTTTCTCATAAATTGGTTTTACACTAAATAAAAAAAAACTATAGACAAAATAATTAAAGACGTTTAGAACTCAACAATATTAAAATAATTTGTAAGTTAATTCTTAAATACATTTGCTTATCATTATCGTAAAAGACATTTAAGTTTTAGAGCTTTCGCCCTATTTAATACTTTACAAAACATCAAATTAACTCACAATATATTGCTATCCATCACATACTCTTACCTAGACTATAGATGCCATTGAGAGCTGTCTGAAAGTTTAATAAACAAATTGATTGCCCTGCAATATTACTCAAATAACATTAACATTAGTTCATTATTTAGTTATGTGTCCTTAATGTGTTGTCAATTTGCATGATGTTTTCTCCTAAATCTTTTGTTTTAGTAAAAAAATAAGCACCTTATAAGATGAACTATACATTTAATTCATTCCGGTATGTTTTTTTCTTGATGGTATTATTTATTTTAATCTTGATTTGTTGGCTACTCATCATGTAAATAAATTTATACACAATTTACAAAAAAATTTGTAGGTATATTTCGAGTTTACTTCTAAAACCATCGTCAGCCTCTGTTTTATATTTGTTGTTAACAGAGGCTGATTTACACATTTTTACACATTTTTTTTTGTAAATTTATTTACATGATGCCAACAAATCAAGATTAACTATACATTTATATCACAAACAAACCAAAAAGAATCTTGCATCTCACAGGTTATTGCATTTAGTTGTTAATATTCATCATTTGAATAGTTACTAACAATATGAGTTAGTTGTCATTTGAATAGCTACAATTAACAAAATATTAAGTTTGTTTGGATAACATTTTTATAACAGTTAATTAGTTAGGTTTCGGAATGTGATGTATAACAAATTATTATGATCTATCCCTCTATTTAAAGAGGTTTTAACATAAAAATTTTATTTACAAAACATCTCAAGTCATATGCATACAAACATTGTTTCTCAAATGAAATTGCAGTGACTAAAGACAAAAACAATAACAAATAAAAAAACATCGGTAGCGAGTAGTTTCTTCTGAAAATATAAAAAATTAACCTGTTTTTTTTTCCTACGACCTACACTATCTGTCGTTGAGCAATTTAACGCTCGTATACGGAGCAAAATACTCCAATCGTTATCGATCTAGCTCCGGTCCAACGCTAGGCAGCTCTAGCATAGTACTGGTACTAGGAGAGCACACCTCAGATTGGGCCTACTTAGCATATTTTGCACTAATGGTCAGACCTTTCTGTAGATAACATTCTATGGATGACAGTTGTTTCTTTATTTCTCATTGTTTTTTATTTAAATTAGTAGTGATATGAAATAAATTTCCAGGGGTTTTTCGTAGCGATTCTCTACTGCCTCCTGAATGGCGAGGTAAGGACAGAGCTGGCCAAGAAGTGGCGTAGATTGCCGTCTTGGAGGTCTAGGACGGACCACCGCGCGTCGCTACCCCTCAACTCTCTGTCGCAACACGCGGTCAAACGTACTTGCCTGGGCAGTGTGTTCAGCCGCCGTCCACGCCGCTACAGGCCGCACGAGAATGGCAACAAGCGCGGCAGTAAGTCTCACGGTTTATATTACGGCTAGCATAGTATGTTATAGAATGGCTAGCATGGCCATGTAAAGTAAGGCTAGCATAGTAAACCAAAATATAAATAACAAACATATGTTACTAATATAAGTAATTGGATTTTATATATAGATAAATAATGGTAATGAAAATTTCTCGTCTTATTTTTGAATTTAATGCAACAGAAAATTTATAGCTCGACTTAAGTTTTTTTTTATTAAAACCATTTGCATTTTCATTTTTTTTTCTAGGGAGGGGTTCAGACTAATGCCATTAACGGTTTATTCTATTACCAAATAATGCCGATCCATTTGTTAGATATTGATTACTTAATTAATTGATAGCGCAATGACACTATATACATCGATAACGACAAATGGCCGTCAGACTGAGGAAAAGATTTAGCTTGGAATTGAACCAATGAACCTACAGATTCGATGTAGGGCATTATAATCTCTTGTATACTTACACAATATAAAAATAATGAATATCTAACTCAACATCATCATGCTAGATGCTTGAGACGAATGTCATTTATTAATAATCATATCAATAAAACAAAACTCAATAGATCTAACTGCTCGTTGGTTTTAATACATTTATTTAGTGATGGGGGTATTAGCTGTAAACTTATTCCTAAACGTTTGGTTCAAACTGCGTAACTTCTCACTTGGTTGAGTTATACTTCACAATTTCTTAGAAATAAAAAAAACAGTTAACAATGTGTCACATAATCCAATGTTCAATTGCAGGTTCGGCAGACACGTGTATGAGTACGTTGGTCTCAAGCGTCACAACGGACGTAAACACTACGACGTCGCTGGTGTCTCAACACAAGAAGTCAATGGTATGTTTCATAACAAGACAAAAAAATAAAACCCCTACTGATGAGAGATCTAAGAGTGTCCACATGTGTCGCTGGATTCGTATTTAATGTACAACACTGCTACAATAAACTTGTCATATTTTTTTAATCGATATATATATATATACACTGGTAACAATACGACATTGTGCTTGGTTATGTTTTAGTGAATTTTTAAATCGAGAATAGCTGAGTTGAGGATTCTGTTTAAAAAATATACGATGGAATATTTGTTTAGGTAAGTTTTTTAACATTGATTTGAATTATTGAACAACCTGGATGGATGAGGAGGATTAAACCTAGAGAAAACCTTGATTAAAACCTAACGTTTGATTAACCTTGACGTAAACAGTTTGAGTGATGTTTTCCAATATTTCATCTGCAAAATTAAAAGTTATTGCATTGACATACTCTGCCATTATTATAACAAGTTTCTTATCAAACGTACCAGATTAATAATTGAAATAATATGGTATTACCATAGCTGGTTATATACCATTTTGCTCATAACGACTAAACTCCCAGTCATATTTCACATTTAGGATATTGTCGAGGAGCTTTCTTTTGATAACGACAAATGCGGAATATTTTTCCTTGCCTGACCACCCTTCTGTTGGAAAGCTTGTTGATTTATTGAAGGCGCTCAGCACCAACGGGCAAGTAACTTGTAACAAAACTGACTTACCAGCTAAACTTTCCGTAGTCTGAGATATATTTGGTTTAAACAAGTGTTTTCGAAAACAGTATAAGCCGTTGCTTAGCTTTTATAACATTAAAAACGTTGTAAATTGTAATATCAACAGAGCAGAAAAAAATAACTTAATATTTAAATTTCTATGGACTTTGAAATATAAACAAACATGACTGTCAAATTCACTTCATTTCACAATTTCACACAGCTGATTCGCACACATTGTCTATTCTAATCAATTTGTTAATCATGTGGTGGCTTTATTTGCTCTAAATTAAGATTGTGCCAAGGTCTATAATTTTGAATTGCTTAACATGTGTTAGGATAATATTCTTAAATATAACTTAGGCGTTTCTTCAATCAAAGATATGTAACACAAATGGACATTTTTTTTGTTCAAAAGAGGTAATGTTTACACAAGTTTTTGTTAGGCAATGTGTTAAATGTCCACCTTTTTGGGCTAGCTACCACTTGTCTTTTCTTTTATCATCGGTTTCGGATAGTCAAAAAACTACACTAAACTTCACATCTAATTTATAATCTGAAGAGTGTATGTTTGAGTGTATGGTGAAGAGTGTATGGCTTACACTTGAGTACGATGATGTTGGAAAAATACTTAATTTTATTATAACTTCTTTTTTTGCACTTGAATTAACTTGTTTAGGTACCTTTTCATTATTTTAGAGGTAATTGTTTACTATACAGCTGCTTAAATTAAACCAATGAGACTACCATAAAGATAAGTTTTGCCATTGACTATTAATACACTTATTCACTGAGTATATAAGTTTTAAACCTAAATTTAAGATATCAATAGTTAATTGTCGTATGCAGTTTACTTTTGTTACTTGTTAAGTGTTTAACTATTATTTACTATCTATAATCGATGGTAAGTTTGTAAATGTAAATGCAATGAACTATGGAACGCGTGAAATTAGATCTAAACAAGCTGTTCGTATATGTTGTTTGTTGGTGATAACCATACATGTTTTGGGGTTTTAACAGTGATTTTTTTTTTTTGCTAGCTGTTAAATTTATATAATTTGCTGAAGAGGCAAATAAAAGAATAACTTGGGCAAAACATCACTACTTTTTGTTACTTTGATGTCAACTAATTGATTTGTTCCTTCATTACAGTACCCTGTTGAAAGATTAATTTTCACCTACTGATTTTAAATAAGTTTCGGGTTTTCAATTAAATACAATTTAAGTAAGCGTACATTTCAAAATTGAATCATATATTTTCATACGTGCGTCAGGGATACTTATTTTGTACAAGATAGACTAATAAAATGTTTAACATTTTTATTTAGGTTGGATTAAAAAATATAGGCTATAGTTTACTCAAGCGATGCAGTTGATTGATTGATTGATTGTAAGAGGGTGGACAATTTTTTTTTTATGGTCCAAGCACGTCAACCGAAGCTTATTGTGCATCCCGCTTGCCACTAAATGGGTAAGCCTATGCCTGTGTCCATAACTAGGTGCAGGAGCTTTTGCCCAATGTTAGCGTCTGGTTCCTCACCTGGCTGCTTTAGACCAAACAGAGCCCTTCTCCTAGCCCGTAGTCCATCGCAGTCCAGAATAATGTGTTTTGAAGTCTCATCGGACTGGTTACAAAGTCGACACTCCTGCTTGTCATTGACAATTCCTAGAGTGTGGAGATGTTTCCTGAAATGGCCGTGTCCAGTGATAAGAGCAAGTACCTGCTTGACCTGCCCTCTCCCCAGCTTTAGCAGCCAGCGAGTGAAGAGGGTGCTAGGTTCTGAGAGCAGTTTTTTGCCAAGTGATTGTCCAGGATAATTACGCCAACGCTCAATATGATGTCCCCTGGACCATTTGTTTATTACATGTTTAGCAGCCGCTTTGCTGATGCCACAAAATGGCTCTGGTCCAAAGAGTGGCATGCTCGCACCTTTTTTTGCCAGCTTGTCTGCACTCTCGTTGCCGCCAATGCCTACATGGCCTGGGACCCAGCCGATAGTTACAGAGTTCTGTGATGCAAGTCTGCAGAGGGTGTTGAAACACTCCCAGACCAGTTTTGAAGTGACTTCATTTGAGTCAAGAGCTTTGAGAGCAGCCTGACAATCAGATAAAATCACTATCCTTTTGTCTTGGTACCGTCTGGCTAGTCCTAGGTTGGCACAAGCCAAGATGCCATCGATTTCTGCCTGGAAGATGGTACAGTATTGTCCCAGACTTCCTGATAGTTCTGTTCTGGGTGATCGACAGTAAACCCCAAAACCAGATTTTCCATCGATTAGGGAGCCGTCTGTGTACCAGACGAAGCTCTCCATATCTTGGAGATGCCCTTCCTGATGTTTCCACTCATCTCTGGAGCGGAATTCAACATTAAAGGGTTTGGTGAAAACTGCTTCCTTGCTTAGGAAGTCCGAGGTCATGTCAAGCACAGGACACTCAGCCAAAGTCTTAGCAATGGCGCAGTGGCCTGCCCCTGACAGGCCTTCCCTCCACAGATTTGCAACCCTCAGACGGTAAGCTGCCTTGAGGGCCTCAGATCTGATGAAGATGCCCAGTGGTAGCAGCCCAAGAGCGACTTCTAGAGTAGCTGATGGACTGCTCCTGAAGGCTCCAGTGGCCTGTAGCGTGCCGAGCCTTTGCATACTTTCTAGCTTGGCTATGACAGTTACCTGATTCACCTTTGTCCACCAGACTAGTGAACCATAGGTAATCTGAGGCCTGACCACAGCCTCGTATAGCCAGAGTGCTATGTGGGGTTTAATTCCCCAGGTGGTTCCTGCAAACCTCCTGGACGTCATGAGCGCCCATTTGGCCTTGTGCAGCGCGTTATTCAGGTGGTTGTTCCACGTCAGCTTGGAGTCAAGTGTCAGTCCTAAATACTTGACCGCACTCGACACTCCCAGCTGAGTAGTGCCAATTTTCAGCCTGGAAAGAGAATCCAGGTTCTTTTTCCTGGTGAAAGGAACTACGACTGTCTTAGAAGGATTAATGTTGAGTCCCTCTCTGAGACACCATTGTTTAACACATTGTAGGTTGCCGTTCATGACGTCAGCTACAATGTTTGTGAATTTTCCTTGTACCATGAGGACTACGTCATCTGCATAGCCCTGGACAAAGATGCCCTTGCTGGTGAGTTCAGTTAGAAGACCGTCCACCACAAGGTTCCACAGTAAGGGTGAAAGTACACCTCCCTGTGGACATCCTTTTGTGGGTGCGATCACAATTTTTTCACCAAGAAAGTCGGCTACGGTGCGTCTTGAGTTAAGCATAGACTCTGTCCATCTACACAGAGATTGCTCGAATCCACGCTCACAAACTCCCCGCACCATTGCTCCGTATGTTACATTGTCAAAAGCTCCTTCAATGTCCATGAAGGTGCATAGGGCTATTTCCTTAGCAGCCAGGCTGTCCTCAATTCTGCTGACCAACTCGTGCAGAGTGGTTTCGCAGGACGTGCCTGGCTGGTAGGCGTGTTAATTGCGATGAAGAGGTGTGTTGAGAAGTACACCCTTTCTTATGTGCCTCTCCACCAGCCTTTCCAAGGTCTTGAGGAGAAATAAGGAAAGACTGATAGGACGGAATGATTTAGCATCAGAGTAGTCTGCTTTTCCTCTTTTGGGAATGAAGACCACCCTGCTGAGACGCCAGGCCTGAGGGATGTACCCGTAGGCCAAGCTCGCTCGGAAGAGTTCACATAGGAGGAGCTTGAGGGCATCCGGTCCTTGCTGAAGCATGGCTGGATAGATGCCATCTCCCCCGGGAGACTTAAATGGACCAAACTTATTGATTGCCCATTTAACTTTAGAGAGAGTGACAACCCTTCTGGCTGTATTCCAGCTTTCACGATCAGTTCTCGGCCAAGAACTTGTATTCGTGCAACCGGACACTCCTGTGTCGTCACTCTCAAAAATGCAACCAGGGAAGTGAGTCTCAAGGAGAAGTTTGAGACTTCCTCCAACCCCAGTGGTACCCTCCTGGTACCTTAAGAGATCCCAAGAGTCCAATAGGTTTGGACGCTAGAACCCGCTGAAGGCGGGCCGCAGCACTGAGACTGTTTACCTCCTGTGTAAACTGTCTCCATGAATTTTGTTTAGCTTTTTTTATTGCAAGGCTGTATTCTGTAAGTGCCCTTCTATATGGCTCCCACATACGGCTCCGTTTGCATTGGTTGAATAGTTTCCTGACACCCGCCCTCATGCGAGTCAAATCCGCAGTCCACCATCTAGTGCTGGTACTGCGTTTTCTCTGTCCCAGAGGGCAGTTGTCATGGAAGCAAGTGATCATTGCGTCCTGTAAGTCGGTCGCAATTTGGTCAATGTCTGCAAAGCAGCTGACCCTCCTACTCACGGATCCCAACTGGAACTGTAGGTCAGAGTTATACTGTGACCAGTCTGTTCTCCTGGGATTACGGAAGGAGGGGGTGACAGTGTTACTTAGCGATGCAGTTGAGTTTATTCCTAACTCAATTATTAATTATGGATTTTTAAATATTTTATACAATGAACTTAAAGAGTCAACTTTTTTTCTTTCGCGTCCCCCTAGCGTTTCAAGGCAATGGCTAGTTCACTAGTAAAATAATTGAAATATTAGAACTGGTTAAGTTATATGATAAAGTAATGTTCTCATGTTTTAGGTCCCAGATAGTGCAGATTCCGGCTACATGGAGAGCCAGCTGACGTAAAACGAATATTCAACATTCGTAGAAATAATTAAACACTAAAATATTTACTGAAAAGATGGTGTTTTGAAGATCAATTTGTGGAAAGAGTTCAAAGTACTTAGTTCGTAAACACTTAAGTACCCAATTAATTCGACCGAAATGTTACCAAAAGAAAGATGAATGCTAAGGAATGTGAGTCTCGTTGCAAGGAAGAAAATACATGTTTTGAGATCTCATGGTTCTTTACTAACAGTGTTTTAATGTGAAGTGGTTTTGTACAATAGACATTAATCTATTTGGTTAGTTATAATTCAGTATTTGCATGCCAAATGTCTAAGACAAAATGCACTGCTTGTGATGTTTTAGCACCTTGACTATTATATAGTTTTTGTTTAAATAACGTGATATAACGCTTAAGAAAGTTCTTTACAGTCAATACACGTATTGCTAAGAAATTGTATCTTAATTTCTTAAACTGTATTATTCAAACCGTGCCCTAACCATTTGGCTTGAAATGATCACCTAATACATTGGAATAGTTAATAATAATAGCATAATTGTCCAAAAGCTATAAAATAATTACGAAATATTATATTACGTTACTAGTCCGGAAAATATGTGTTTACTGGACGAGTATGATCGTTCCCTCACGAGACGACATTTTGGACGAGTGGCGTACGGTATTTTCGCCATAGTCTAAACCAACCTAACAGTAAAATAAAATTGTACAAATCAGTTATATTTTCCCACCGACAAAAGGACTTTGTGAGAGGTTATTCGTTGACTTATTGCCGATAATTATAATCAGCTGGTGTCTAGTAAAAATGCAATACAATATAGTAACGTATGTAACGTATTGATTATTGGTCGGCCGCTTAGAAAAAGACCTGCGCGCTAATGTTAATTCTAACGCTAGATCTTTTTCTTATCGACCGACCTATAAGCAGGCGGCAAACACCTGTTTTCCGGACTAATTTCATGAGGGAAAAATTTGTTAAAACAGCAACTAAAGCCAACATGATTGTTGTTCTTACTTATTTCCATCAGGTCGTTGTTAAAAGATTATTTTAGTTTACTTATTAAATTGTGTACTATTTGAGAGAGTTAAAGTAATTTATTTTTATACTCAAAGCTTCACGGAGTACCTGCAGTTGTATTAGACTATGAATAATTGTTAAGTAAACCTTGATGTGTATATATTTTGTATTTTATAAAATAAATTATGGTTGGAAATATAAATGCTATGTTTTTCGTCGTGAATAAAAATATTAGTTTTTTAAAGATTTTTCTTACTTTCATCAAACATATCGTCTTCCCTCGCATGCGAATCAACCAGTGGGTTTTATAGATGTTTATAATTTTAAAAATGCTTATCTGAACGAACACCTAATCAACTTACGTAATATAAAAAAGATGCTAAAAGAAATCACTTTTCCCTGCAACATTATTTTAAAAGTACATATGCCATACAAACTTTCGATGGCAAAGTTGACCTTACTTTAATTTATTTGAAAACTAACCCCAATCAGAATCTCAAAGCCATTTAGAGGCGGACAGTTTGTAGCTGAATGGTGATGGTTACTAATGGACCGGCAAATACTTGAATGAGAATCGATAATATAGAGAAACGATAATCGTTGGCATTAAAAAATATTAAATATAATATGTATTCTAATCATCATATTTTAAAAAGTTAATAAAGCCTATAATATTATATCTGGTTTGCTATGAGAATATTTTAATGGAAACATAATATTTTGATTTAATCATATTTCTTACCTACATATCATGTTCGTATATTCGCAGAGACTTTTCCAAATAGCAAAAACCAGGTCGTTTCATTGGTTTGCAATACGATGACAGAGTTAGTTAAGATATATTTAACAGTATATTATATTTCTGATGTTTAAACTTCTATTAATACAGACATACGGATAGGACTACTACTTCAACAATTAAAAACATAAAAACGTCACCTAACTCAAGTAATTAGATCAATGCATAAAGTAAATGTATACAAATTTGAAATTGGGAAGAGTATTTTTTTCGCTTTAGTATCAATTTGTTAATCTTCAATGGAATTAATTTAATTAAAAATAAAAGTTACTAGCATATGAAAAGATGGTACTTCAGTATTAAACGGAGGCCACATTTTGTCAGCGCGCTGCGGCGGTTATGTTAGGTTGGGTTATCATAATAGAAAGTATCGTTCGATTCACAACGAAGCGAGGAAAGTCCTACACACATAATATTTACGATAACCCAACCTAACATAACCGCCGCAGCGCGCTGACAAAATGTGGCCTCCGTTTAATACTGAAGTACCGAAAAGATTAAATGGCAAATATCTATATAAAAATTAGTTTACTCTAAACATGTAATATATTGGCTTGGTAAACTCCTTTTCCTTGACGGTTATATATTTTGTTTTCAAGTTTTTTTTTTTAAACACCAAACCCTGTTAAATGTTACAATTTAAATATCTATAAGTTGTACTAACGTGTGTGAGCTACAGTTTGTATGAGTCTCCAGGGAGAAAGTCATATCATAACATGTCGCAGTTGAAATTTATACCCTCCCTGTCCCATAAGCCTCGTGGGTTGATTTATTGAAACCTTTTGGCCCATCTGGTCTGTCAGGCATTAGCTTTTTTTATATATTAAATATTCTACAACAGTAACTAATCTTATACAGGGGTAAACAGCCAAACTCCGTGAAATGGTTCTATGGGTCAAAATAAATATAAAATCAAAAATAACATATTTTTTTCAAAAATCGCTTCGTTAACCAGATATTTGCCTTTTAATTTTTTTTTTAACATTAACATTTTTATCCTTAAAGGTTTTCAATCAATCATTATTAATTGATAAATAACAACTTGGTATGTATATTAAGGTAATAGAGACCCATGTTAGAAAAAAAACTCATCTTTATTCGTCACAAAAATTTCAAAATGTTTGCCATTTAAATTTTATTTAATTTAAATTTATAAAACAATGGCTGACTTTATGAAACAATAACAAGAACATTGTTTTTATTTGGCATTTTCAATTCCCTATGAAACGATACAAGGTTCGAAAAGATTAAATAAGATATAGCTGAAATATTATGATTTTTAGTTGTAAATGGCTCACTTCTGACTAGTTTAGCCTTTTCTACCCCAATTTACAACTAACAATCTTAATATTTAAGCTATTTCTTATTAGATCTTTGAAAATTTGTTTTAAAAAACGAAATGGTAAATATCCGGTTAACAAAGCGATTTTGGGAAAAGATACTATTCTGGATTTTATCTTTATTTTGGCCCATAGAATCATTCCCCGGAGTTTGGCTGTTTACTTACGCGACTTTCTGTATATATTACACTACGTTATTTTTGTGTGTTGCAGTATGGAAGGTACGGTTTATAAACGATCACTAAGTTTGCTTTTCATACAAAACTGTGTGACTACAGTTAATCGATGGAAAATTTCGAGACCAATTTTATTATATCCTAGTTTTAATTTTAGGTTAGTATCACAAACGTTTACATTTCTGCACAATAACACATCACTTTGTAATCTAACTTTCTAGGCATTAATCTACTAACATTTACATGTTTTATAGTAAATATAACATGTTACAGATTCTTTTGAGTATATTAACTATTTGCTTTAGAGAATTGAATGGTCGATTTAAATTATTACATTTCATGAAAATCGTAGCAAAAAGCTTTAGGAATCTTTCTTCATCATGGCCCTAAAATCAGTATCTATATGCAGTCAAAACAATACATGTTGTACAATACATTTGTAGTGGGGATCTCCGTCACATTGAGGCTATCCTCTTCTAAGATACTCGTCCTTATTTATCTTCTTTGATTGTGGACCTACACTAGCGACTAGGCCATCAAACCGTTATCGCATGGATAAGGTTCATTGGCGACTGGCGGGATTCCAACCCAAGCTTTCAGGCCAGAAGACCCAGGCTCCCCCTGCTGGACCAGCACACCCACCGCGCCCCAACATCCATTACTCTCAGTACAAAGGTAATAAATAACTTAATAGGTTACTAAATTGTTATATATTTTTTTATCCATCTTCATTAATGTTTATTTTGAAGACGTACTAAACCCTAAACGCATACAATAAATCGTACCTTGATTCAAGATTGATATGAATTGAAGAGTTAGCAAGCGTGTGAGTTCAGCACTATGTATCGTGTTACGGCGTCGTTATGTCGACCAACCGTTTACAGAGAGGCGGATCCGCAGGAAGAGGTTTTAACTACGCTGGGAGATAATGTCCCTACAGGCGATTACGAAACTCATTCATGCTATCACTATAGATGTAAGTATATACAATGTTAAATCACGATGATTAAGTATTGACATGTGATTACTTTTATGTGCGTGTTTATTAATTGTAAACATTGATATACACACGAATTGCTTAAAAATGTAACTTTTATGAGTAAACTACAAGATTTTTGTTGAATTGCCTAAAAATGCATTTCCTAAAAATGCACTCCTTAACTTTTGATTTGTTATTAGAAAGAAGGCTGTACATAAGATAAGACAATTTGATTATTAAAATAAAAATACTCTTAGTAAGACATGTAATAATTTGAAAACAAGGAACATTCATACAACAATTTTTTCTGGTTGACTATTTGTCTGTTTGAACAAACTTTGAGTGTATTAGACAAACTAAATCAATTAGGTCAAATATACATAAGAAATCAATTAAAATAATAATTTAGACATTCAATCATGTCCATAAAAAAAACTTGGGAACTTTTCAACTACAATTATTACATAGCTAATAAATAGCATTTATTATACTACGAACAACACTTACTAAAACATTTACGTTATATTTATGGCCAAGTACCTCAACAATGTTGTATTAATCTATAACGCAATATATTCATTTATTAACAATGAGAAGATAGCAATCATTTAATAGTAACCAACTTAATGAACTGTAATTAACTTCAATTGAAATGGTATGCATGGATACGCTATCGAGTATACATAGCAAACCCGTGAATTTAGCCTTGGTTGAAACATTAAAGGTTATATAAACGACACTTTATTTGAAACTATATATCGTTTTTATAAATGCAAATTGTCTATATTTTTACTTGGTAACTTTTAAGAGGCCACGATTTCAATAACAAAATAAATGAACATAAATGCACGCAATAGTTTTTTATCGACCTTCTTTAAAACTCCACGTTACAAGATACAGAACATGTATGATATGATAGCGCTTAAAATTTAGGTTAGCTTAAGAAAAAGGTTAGGTTTATAAATAGAATATTAAGATGAAAAACGTTTAATATCACTGTAACATGTCGTGTTGCAGTAGATGGCATCTTAGAAACGGTAAATAATATCAAAGTATTACTACTCAACACTGATATATGGCAACCTACATCCCCTTGGTTTGCAGATTATTTCTCGGGTGGAGACATATAAGCCCAAGTGCAGTAACATTCCATGCCAAGTTATTTTCTCTTCCCGAGTAATTACTATTTCAAACTATAGTGAAATCACGTCAATATAACTAACACAAAGGTGATTTTGTTACAATAAGTATTTATATTCATACAACACGATACTTACATTAAAAGGAACGTCTAATAAATTTAGAGCTGAAGAGGAGCAGATGTGGATTTATAGAGTTATCAATCAAATCTATAACAATAGACCAATCTTGCACAATGGTTGAGAATACAACAGCGGTAGCGTCTACAAGCTTATCTCGCTATCAAGATACAATGCATAACAGAAACCGAGTACCTATTATTCCATCAAGATACGTTATAAGTTATCAATGC